TTTAAAGTTATTTTCCATGAGGGCATTCCTGTACCTATCTGCTTCCCCTCAGCTGAGCTGAGCAGTTTCTGTAACACATCTCCTGCCTACGGAATACATTCTTTGGAAGATAATTCACAGGGACAAAAGCCCCAGATGTCTTTAGCAGGTACAACAGCCTGAACAGGCTGCCCAGGGAGGGTGTGGAGTCCCCTTCTTTGGAGATTTTCAAGACCTGCCTGGATGCTCCTGAGTAACATGCTCTGACAAGCTCTGGGCAATCCTGCTTCAGCAGGGGGGTTGGACTAGATGATCTCTATGGTCCCTTCTAACTCTAAAATTCAGTGAAATTCAGTGAAATACAAACTGTTGTCTCCAGTGGCCTATATTATACTTCCATACCCTTGGAAATTAAACACAGTGCAGGATCTCTTTGCTGTACACATACAAATGATCATGAAGAACTTGTCTTTCTAAGAAAAAGCAGGTTTCTGACATGCTATTTTTTCTGCTGTTGGGTTCTTCACGCAGCCCTTTTCCCAAGTGCTACGTTTGTCCCAGCATAAAACTCTAATGGTGTGATCCAGCCCCAGCAGCCTCTGGAACAACGTCTCCATAGGCAGGCCAGCAGCTTCAAAACTTCCTCCTCTTCCTCCTCTTCTTCCCCCCAGTCTGGTTTTAGCAGCCATAGCCTTCACCCCAGGCTTAACATGGTGTAACAGGATCCTCTGGCAGGGGGAATCTTTAGTGGCTGATAAAACCTTAACTGTTGTGAAATGAAAGCAGGTTCCCTTTGAAGTGCGCCTCGCATTACAGTTAGATGCTCTAGCCTCTATATTTTAACTACCAATAAAATGATTTATAAGCATAAAGGCCTGAGCCACCTTTAAGGCGGGGGAAGGGAAAGAATTGCTAACGTCATTAGCTGGAATGTATCCTCTTTCTTTTTTTTTTTTTTATTTTTCCTGTGGGTTATAAATAAGGGGCAGAATCAACCTGTTTGGGCCATGAAATGTCCCTTCCTCTGCACGGGAAGATAAATCCTATCAATTTCTTTGTGGAAGATTTCAGTGTATTTGTGGCTGGATTCTCCAGCCAGGCTCTGCTGGGAAGCACTACGTTTCAGCATGTAGTTGTGAATCTCATTTGGTGCATGTGTATTTACTATTATTATCATTTCTTATTTGTTTTGCTATGATGCTCCAGCCGAGACAGAGATCTCGCTGCACTGGGTATGGTGCCTACTGGCAGTTAAAGAGAGCCTCTAGCTCAGATGGCTGGTTGTTGAAATAAACCAAAATGTAAGAAAATGTGGGTCTTATCCTCGGTTTAGAGGTGGTGATGTGATGCATGGGTTGGATAAGGACCAAAAATAATTGAATGCAGCAATGTTTCCATTGCCTTCAAATCAGAAAAGCAATAGCTTTACTGAAGTCAGAGAAGGAGCCTGTAGCATAATTAAGAACTGATTTTCTTTCTCTTTCTATCTGGCTGTAGTCCACTGTCTTGCAAATTACCTTTTCCTTCTTCACAAGTCCATGCACATTGTAGACCCAAGTACACAAGGCAACCCAAGAGTGGCCCATGCACGAGTATTATTGATCAACTCTACCTGCTCATAAAAGGGTCCAGAATATCCTTTTTTCTCCCTTAAAAATATAGGAACTACACACTCCTGACAGGATGTGGAGAAGCAAGAGAGGAGGAGCTGTACATACACGTGTGAATTTTAATTCTGAGCAAGGGATGCAAACGCGTGTGCGTTGCACGGACAGCGATAACCTCACCTGGTGTAACAAAAGACAACAAAAATCTTTTCAAATTTGTGTTTTGATCATACGTCAGCCAAGCCAACTGACAAACCACCGCGGGCAGCTGAGGGCTTGTGGGATGTTGATGGAGAAACGTGTTCCCCTACTAGACCATTTCACTCCACATGTTTCTCCTGAACTTCTAATCCTGAGTGGATTTGCCAGCATCTGGCTCTTGGTTATAAAAAAGGAACTTTCCCACCCTTTGCGATGTCGGGAAAGTGTCAGAAATCACTTTCTGGAGTGGCTTTTACTTTCTTGGAGTTCGATTTCTCTTTCCTTCTCAATTCCTGGATTAATAGCTGTTTGGTTATGTTTGCTCTTCAGGTATTTGAATTTTATATGCTCTCCATAGCATTGAGATCTTTTTTTTTCGAGTGGAAGCTCCTCCAGCCTGGGACTAGGCCTTTTTCTCTGAACAGAGAAGGTTCTTTATCTCCGTATCCAGAAATATTCAGACAGTTTTTATGTCCTTAAGTGTTGAAAGTGGAAGCAGATGATATAAGAGGAGGAGCCAAGTTGCGTATCCCTAATTCAAAGCATGAATTATACATACATGCACGAGAAGGGGACAGGACCATCCTCTTTCCATGACCAGAGCAAACAAAAGGTTATTTATTAATTTGTGGTGCTCCTAGAAACTGTGCCACGAGTTGGGCTGTCTAAAAGGGTTGTAAAGTGCTACGGACCTTAATGTTCATTCCCTTCTCTCTCCTTAACTCTGCCCTAGATTTTGCTTGAGACTTTTGGTGCCAGAAATGGGAGATTCTGACCTGCATGGAGGTTGTTGCTCAATGCAGATCGGATGTGAGCTGACCCATTTCTGTCACGCTTTTGGAAGGTGCTGAGAGGTTACGCCGCTGCAGCCAGTAGCGCGGTGCAGTAGGAACAGGTCTGTAAAAAGACACATTTGGTGCCAAGGACCTGACATCAGCACTGTCTACATTTCCGAGGGTTTAATTTAGACCAGCTCTTCCAAAGAAAATGGGGCTTTTTTTTTTTGGTTTGTTTTCACTGTACATGGATATAAATAGCAGCGAGAAGTGAAGGAGACTGCCCTGGGCTAGGTCCTTCTTGGCTATCATAACAGGTCACACACAACTATCATTAGCAGGTTTTAATCAAACTTTCCACGGCGCAGCAGTAGGTGTGTGACATATAGAAAGAGCAATAATAGACTGGGATCCAGAGAACCTCACAGAAATTTGTGTGTGAAGCTCAGTGCATGCTGGTTTTTGCAGCAAGCACCGTGGACTGAGAGCCAACGCTCCATTAAGGAGGCAGCTCTCAGTGAAAACGTGTTTCCTCGTCATGCTGAGTGAATTATACGTACCCACAGGTGCCAGTAAGAAAAAGGCAAACTAAGAAGTGACCATTTACAAGAGGACTCAATTTAAAGGCCAGAAGGAGACCCACTTTGAGATTTGGGTCATGGCTGAAGTGCAGAGTGCATCGGACTAAGGTTCTGCTATATTTGGGGCAGAGAGTTTTGTTTTGGTTCACAAGATGGGGGGGACAGTTTGGACCGCGGTGCCTCAAACCCTTGTAACCCCAGCTTCTGATCTGACGTTGAGCAGCTTGGAAGCCTGATGGAGGATTTTTTTCCCCCGGAATGCTTTACACTCTTGATTTTTCTTCCATTTTTTCTTGTTGCTGTGAAATTTAATCGTGTTTTCTAGCCCTTTAGGCCTCACAAAGTCCAGCAGCTGCATTCTCATCTGGCTTGAAAGCTTATCCACATACTTCTGAACCCCAAACAGGGATCGGGCCTGAGAGCCTCTCTGATTAAATGAAGTAAACCAAGCCCAAGAGACAGCTTGAGAAGCCCTTCCCACTATGCAGAAGGGAGATTGCTCACGATAAAACACATCGGGGCAGACAAATGCGTTTAGAAAAATCTCCCTTTGAGTCTTGCAGGTAAACTGGCGCTGTAGGAAACACGAGCCCAGCTTTGCCCATGCATTAATACTGGGTTTATTTTAATGCACAGAGATTTAAATTGGCTGCAGTACAATTCTAGTGCACGCTGCAGTGCCTCTTGCAAGGAGAGCATGTCTTAGCATACAGACAACAGTGATTTGCTAGAGAAGCTAAGAAAACCCTGCATTCCCTCCGGTCTGGTTCTATCTATTTAGCTTGTCTAACATAGAAACCATGATGCTAATCTGTCTATTTATCCCTCCTAACAGTGCAGCCGTGTTGCTATTATGGTACTTAATCCTTCGGCATAATTCACATAGTTGTCAGATAACAAGGCAGAATGGCCAGGTGGTAGCAATGCATCTATTTGCTATGGACTCTCTTGGAATACACAAGCTAAATTATTCCTCTCCATCTCACCCTGCTGCTGATAGCACCCTCCCACACTCTTAGGAGTATTTTTAGCAATTTTAAATGCATGTATCGTGTGACCAGCAGAAGTAGGGAGGTGATTGTGCCCCTGTGCTCAGCACTGGGGAGGCCACACCTCGAGTGTTGTGTCCAGTTTTGGGCACCTCAATCCAAGAGAGATCTGGAGGTGCTGGAGCGAGTGCAGAGGAGGGCAACGGAGCTGGTGAGGGGGCTGGAAAACAAATCGTATGAGGAGCGGCTGAGGGAGTTGGGGCTGTTTAGTGTGAGGAAGAGGAGGCTGAGGGGAGACCTCATCACTCTCTACACCTACTTGAAAGGACACTGTAGAGAGGTTGGTGCTGGGCTCTTCTCACAGGTAATTAGTGACAGAACGAGAGGGAACGGCTTCAAGCTCCAACAGGGGAGGTTTAGATTGAACATTAGGAAAGAATTTTTCACAGAAAGAGTGGTCGGGCATTGGAACAGGCTGCCCAGGGAGGGGGTGGAGTCCCCCTCCCTGGCTGTGTTTAAGGGCCGTTTAGATGCAGTGCTGAGGGACATGGTGTAGGGGAGGACTTTGTAGAGTAGGGGAGAGGGTTGGACTCGATGATCCCAAGGGTCTCTTCCAACCCAGATGATTCTATTCTATTCTATTCTATTCATTTGATCTCTGTGAGAAAGGTACTACAGGGCAGTAGTAGTATTGTCATCGAGGGGAAAAGAAGAGGAACAGAGATGAATACTCACAAAGTCTGTGTCAGGCAGCGACTTGAACCTGTTTTTGGCCCGTGCTGTCATTCAGGATGTGTGTCCACCAGCAGCCCAGGTGAGATGGGACAGCAGCTGAGAGTCACACGTGCTCTTTCCTCTCCCCACCAGGTGTGGTTCAGCAACCGAAGAGCGAGATGGCGCAAACAGGCAGGAGCAAACCAACTTGCAGCGTTCAACCATCTGCTGCCGGGGGGCTTCCCGCCCACAGGAATGCCCACGCTGCCCCCGTACCAGCTGCCGGACTCCACCTACCCAACAACCACCATCTCCCAAGGTGAGCACCCCTTCGCCTGCCCTGCTCCTCTTCTCTTGCCCTACGTCATCTCATCGTCCCTTCCACATCATAGAATTGTAGAATCGTGAAATTGGCCAGGTTGGAAGGGGCCTTTAAGATCATCTGATCCAACCATCAACTTAACTCTGAGAAAACCCCTCACTAAACCACGTCTCTAAGCACCATGTCAACCCATCTCTTAAATCCCTCCAGGGATAGTGACTCCACCACTTTCCTGAGCAGCCCATTCCAAGGCTTGATAACCCTTTCAGTGTAAGAATTTTTCCTAATCAGGCCATTTCCTCTTGTCCCATGGCCTGTTCCTTGGGAGAAAAGACTGAGTCCCCCTGGCTACACCCTCCTTTCAGGGAGTTGGAGAGAGCCAGAAGGTCTCCCCTCAGCCTCCTCTTCTCCAGGCTGAACACCCCCAGCTCCCTCAGCCTCTCCTCACAAGACTTGTGCTCCAGACCCACCTGGAGATGGGTGATGGACAATGTTCTCATCCCATTGTCCCTTCCACTTCCAATTCATGACATCCCACTAAAGCTCTTGGAATACCCTTGAGTAGAGAAGACGAGGTTTTTCCTCAACTCAATGGAAACTCCACAATTTTTTCTCCAGGCTGAACACCCCCAGCTCCCTCAGCCTCTCCTCACAAGACTTGTGCTCCAGACCCACCTGGAGATGGGTGATGGACGATGTTCTCATCCCATTGTCCCTTCCACTTCCAATTCATGACATCCCACTAAAGCTCTTGGAATACCCTTGAGTAGAGAAGACTAGGTTTTTCCTCAACTCAACAGAAACTCCACAGTTTCCTCCTCTGTCTCAGCTGTGTCAATGTGTCTCAGGACTGTAGTTCTTCTGTTTAGTTTTGAAAGAATGAGCGCTTCATTATAAAGTGAAAAAAAGAGAAAATTCTCATTATAAAGAGAAAATTCAGATATTTCATCCCAGGTTTGCGTATTTTGTATTTTGCATAAACTGTCATGTGAAATGCATTAAGTTCACATGGAGCACAAAGGAAGGTGGGACCCAGAAGCTGAGATCAGGGCAGCCAAACCATCAATCCACACTTTCCAGTCCCTGCTGTAACACCCCAGGACCACGTTTACCCCTGAATTCTCTCTCTGCAGACGGGGGAAGCACCGTGCACAGACCCCAGCCGCTGCCTCCATCCACCATGCACCAGGGAGGGCTCGCTGCCGCCGCCGCCGCCGACACCGGCTCTGCCTACGGGGCCCGACACAGCTTCTCCAGCTACTCCGACAGCTTCATGAACGCTGCAGCTCCTGCCAACCACATGAATCCTGTTAGCAATGGCCTCTCCCCACAGGTACGTGACCCGCTTCCATCCTCTTCCTTCGGCTCAGAGTATTTGGCTGGTCCAGATCCTCTGAGAGCAGGGCAAGCTTCAGGCTACCGCAGTGTATGACGGTTAACAAGGCAGTTATTGTTATTGTCACGAATTCTTGGAGGCAGCTTAGTTAAAGCAATTAGTTAATTGGTTTATCGGCAGTATCTCTGTCCTGAGCTCGGCACTCTGCTGCCAGAGCATTTGTATCCTGTTAGTTCCCACTTTCAGGTTAGCTCGTTGTAATCACAAACACCAGGACATAGAGCATTGGTGTTTGTCTTCTCAGCCCTCCAAAACAATTCCAGTGCAGGTGTGGGCCCTTTGATTGAGGATTTTAGCCCAATGACAGCACGCTTGACATTTTTAGTTCCTGTTTGCAGGCTCTCTTTGGAAATATCCAATGATTTGTGGGTGACTGATTTAGAGATTAGCTGAAGCCAGTTTGTCCCAGTCATGGAAAGCCCTTATGAAAGTGCCATGGATCTGAGCTTCCTCAAAACACAGGGATGTAGATCTGGGATTTAGTTTTGAGAAACTAATTGTCACGTAAACAATTCTGCTAATGCTCTCCCCAAGGTCAGAAGAAGAGGTGTAGGTAAGCTTTAAAGGAGGAAAGGTGCATTTCACACGCATCTGTTTGTGTAAAAGAATGGAGAATGTGTGTTTTAAGTTTACCAGGCAACGGCCATGTCATACACCCTGGATTTTAAAATCTCTGCTTGAGCTCAGAATAGAGCACCCATGAGCTGACTCTGGGACCTGTGCTCCAAACCTCAGCCTGGCTGCCTTCCAAAGGGCCCCATCCTGGGTTTGATCAGACCTCTGCCAGTTGTGTGTGTGGCTTCTCAGTTCCACGTGTGACAGAGAAACACGCCTCAGCAGTGTGGAGAGGTCAAAGCCTCCATCGTTAGCAGGTTGAGAGAGAGCAGAGCTTGTGCTATACATGTTCTAAGGGAGAAGACATGTTCTCAGCTGGTGGGCTCCACCGAAGTCAGGGGAGATGCCAGAGTGTTTGCCACCTGAGAGTACAGCCCACCCTCTCTACCATTATCCTCAAAGAATTCTAATTCTCTGTCACCTCATTAGAGCCTTTAACCTTCTATTTGATTTACGTGGTGTAATCTGTTTTCCAACTGCTTATTGACTTTTAAATGGAACAAGGCACATATTGTACGCTGAAAGTTAACTTGCAAGGACCTGTATTCCTGTGCCTGCCATCCTGGAGGAGGACCAAATAAGTTTTACTTTTGCTCTCAATCACTTGTGAAATACAGAGACACACAAAGTGCACTACGGCAGTTGTTTCAGAGCGGCTGGTAACACTATTTAAGACAGGAAGTGCAAAATAATTTGAAACTACAAGGAGAAATTAGGTAGGCATCTGAAATGAAAAGGCTACAACTGTTTAGAGAGGAGTCCAATAAGCAGGGACATCAGAGAGGTATATAGATTTTAAGGTCCAATAGCTTGTGATCCCTCGAGTGTGAAAACAAACATTGAGTGTCAATGGAAAGAGGGAAATTTTGCAGCTTCTCTGAAATGGTATAAAAATCTCACTTCTAGCTTTGAATGGTCATAAGATAGAAAATGTAGAAGTGTGACTGGCATGAGGCTCAATATTGCCTCAAACAGTGTCATTTGTGGGGGAAATAGGGAGACATCTTTCTGACAAGGGATTTCTAATAGCACTGGGCTTGGGAGATGAGCACATAATATGGAATTCAAAGGCAGACTGCAGGTTAGATGGTCCAGGGCACGTGATTAATTCAGATTATCACAAGTGCAATTTAGCACCCATAGAATAAGTTAAGGATGAGATCCACGTGATAAGCTGCACAAGCACTAGGCAGATACAAGTCCATCATGCAATTTCCATTTCTGTAGCTTCATCATCTACTTACTAGTCCCGCTCACTAAATCAGAGGCTCATTGAAATGACCAGACCAATGCTTTTTCTGTGCTTATCCCTCTCCCAAATTACCCTGCCCCCAGGCTCAGGCTGGGGGAAGATAGAGTCCTGAGCCAATAAGCCCTTTGTATGGGAAAGAGAGGATACATTATCTGGCAGTCCTGAAGAAAAGAGAGCTTTGCACCCCCAAGAAGGGGAGATTCCCATTTTCCTAATGCTTTTAATCATGTGAGGGCCAAGCTATCAGCATATAAATTCTTCTATTTCTTTTGTGCATGGAAAGGCTAACCCAGGTTATTTTATGACTGCTTTATATTTACTTATCTCGCTACCTTCCTGCCTTTCTAAGCCCTCTGCTGTTCCTAGTGGAAGGAAGCAAGAAATACTCCTAACAGCATAAATGGGAACTCATAGAAGTGTCCTCTTTATGTAGCAGGATGGGTAAAAGCTTTGTAAGGTCTCAATAGAAGAACTCTGCATAACTTATTTGTGCATTTTTTTTGCATCTTTTCTCAAGTCACAGGCGACAGGACGAGAGGAAATGGCCTCAAGTTACACCAGGGGAGGTTCAGGCTGGATATTAGGAAAAATGTTTTCACCAATAGGGTTCTCAGCCCTTGGAATGGGCTGCCCAGGGAGGGGGTTGAGGCCCCATCCCTGGAGGTGTTCAAAAGACAGGTTGATGAAGTGCTGGGAGGGATGGTTTAGTGATGATGCTCCTTGTTTGTTGTGTGGGTGTCTATTTTTGTCAGTTAGGTTGACGGTTGGACAAGATGATCTTTAAGGTCCCTTCCAACCTAGAAGATTCTGTGATTCTGTGATTCTGTGCATAATTCAGCTCTTCCATGGCTTAACAGGTAAAACCCATCACCCCTCAACCCTCTCATCCTCCCATCCAGCTATCTGTGGCATCTGGTTGCTTTCTGCAGGGCTAAATACCAACTACAGGGAAGGAGGGAGTTCAGGAGACAGGAAAAAAAAAAAAGTAAATTGGGAACTTAAAATGATGGCAATTTGTCTGAGCTGCAAACAGACAGTTCTCTGGTTTCCTCACTTAGCAGCAGCAGGAGGGAGATTTCTTTGCAGTTTAGACAAGGAGGTGGGGGCCAGCCTGGCCCAGAGCTCCCAGCATTTGCCGCCGCTCGCCGCACTATCCAGTTACCCCGGGATTGGGTATCCCGGCCAGAATCCACCAGACGGGCTCGGGGCTGGCAGCTGAAATCCTAGAGGAGAAGCATGGCATTTCCATTCTCACAGCAGAGAGAAGGGGATTACGTGTGGCCTCCGCGGGCTCGGTCCCCCCCACGCACACACACACACGCACTTTGGTCCTCCCCCTCCTGGCAGAAGGAGCAGACGCTGCGGAAAGTTTTACCCACACTTCGCGTGGGAAATGGCCACTTTTTTTCTTGTTTTCCAGCCTTGTGCCTGCCCAGCTCTGCTGCTGGATCTCTAAAGCTTTTCCCATGTGGTTTCCCCAGAGTAGAGGCCGTTCTGCCTCTATTCCAGCCCTGAGACTGGGGAATGGGAGACCTCTCATTCCTCCCCTGAGATGAGGAATGAGAGGTCAGCTGGGAATTTTTGTCTTCACCTACTTCCTCCCATGATGATGAGTTTTTGTGACACTTCATACAAGAGCACTCACTTGGTTGTGCAAAGGATGGTCCCAGGTGATTAAACCACCACCCAGCATGACCTCTCCTGTCATACTCCTTCCTAGACCTTGGTGAGAGTCATAGAATCATAGAATTAATTGCCCAGGCCAGAAGGGACCTCCAAAGGCCATCTAGTCCGACCCCCCCGCAGTCAGCAGGGACACCCCCAACTAGACCAGGTTGCCCAGGGCCTCGTCGAGCCTCTCCTTGAATATCTCCAGGGAAGGGGCCTCAACCACCTCCCTGGGCAACCTGTTCCAGTGCTCCACCACCCTCACAGTGAAGAACCCCCTCCTGATCTCCAGTCTAAATCTGTTCCCCTCCAGCTTGAAGCCATTGCCCCTCGTCCTGTCACTGCAGGCCTTTCTAAACAGGTTCTCCCCAGCCTTCCTGTAGCTCCCTTCAGGTACTGGAAGGCTGCTATAAGGTCTCCCTGGAGCCTCCTCTTCTCCAGGCTGAACAACCCCAGCTCCCTCAGCCTGTCGAGTCCTCGGGGTAACCCGAGCAGTGATTTGTGATGGTTTTGTGCTGGGACACCCTTTGTAGGAGGGAGATCTTGCTCCAAGTGTTGCCTGTTGAAGAAAGCAAACTTCACAAACTGCCCAGCTGCAGCCAGATGAGTTGCCTTCCATCTGTCAGGATGCACTGGGTGGCTTCGGCGGGCGTGGATTATCAGAAGGTAGCTCAGTACTGGGGAGACCAAACATGCAGCAGTGAGGTCCCCGTTGCTCCCTGAAGGTCCTGTGGGTTAGCAGCAGCTGTGACAGGTTCAGCTGGCCTGACTCAGTGCCTCCAGGCTGGCATTACTGCCTGTGCCAAAACTCAGCAAAGATACAGAGACCCAAAGCAAAGTTAAATATGAAGGGTGAGTAGGCAGTCAGTGGTCATACAGAGTGTGACTTCTGGCCCTGGAGCTTCAGTCTCATCATTTCCCACAAGAGTGGGTTGTAAACCAAGTGTGTGTGGGGGTAGTTGGGATTTCATAAATACACTGTAAATATTTCCAACTCATTTCTGCCCCACAGAGGAATCATTTCCCATTTATTTAAGAATATCTGTCAGCCTCAGCTAGAAGAAGGCCAGGTACCAAGAGAGCCTTAGCCAGGTCGTGCTTCACACTGACGTTGGGAACAAACTTTGCATCCATCTGGTTTGAAGTTCAGCCCTGCAGGAGCTGGGTATTGCCCTCACTGTGGCGGGCGTAAGGCTTGTGAGAAATGGCTCAATATAATGGTAAACTCAATATTAAGTCCAGATCAGCATCTGACAGTCCTTCCAGAAACGGCTACGCTGCGGTGTGGGCTGAGGTGGGAGGAAATGAAGTGAATTAAGCAGCACGTTACAAGTCAACATAAAGAGAAAAGTGTAGAGGAAATGAAGTGAATTAAGCAGCACGTTACAAGTCAACATAAAGA